ATATATATATATATATATATATATATATATATATATATATATATATATTTATTTATTCCGCGTATTATAGATGAGCTTTTGTGTTGTATTGTTAGATGTATTTTTAATGGCGCATCAAGAAGGCTAATTATAAATCTACTATTTATCAACTAAAATTACAATTCTATACATTTATTTCTTTATATAATTATCACTGTTAGTTTGAAATGAAATTGAGATAAATATATGTATATAATATTATAAATAAGAAAAAGTATTATTCTTTTATTTCTTTGATAAATGTTTTACTTGCATTTAATGCATTAGTTTATCTAATAAATATGTATATATAATAAAAAAAGATATACAAATATTTAAATATGCGTATTATATTTTTTTAATATTACTGTAAATTACTTTTTACCTCAATAGAGTTTGAAAACAAAATAGTGAATAATTCTGAAATTTGTATATAAACGTAGTTTGACAATTAAAATTAAAAATGTTGCTCCATGATATAATATAATGAATAAGTTAAAAATTTCAACTTTTATTGAAAATATCTCAGCTTTCGAATGATCAATTTACTTATAATTGCGGCAATAATAGACCATATTTAAATTTATATATGTCCCAGATAGCACAAGATCTCTAGAGGATGTTCTGGGAACGTTCTCAGGACGTAGGACGTTCTCAGAATGTCTTTAGGATGTTCTGTAGAGATCTGTGCTGCTTGGGTAATGCAAGTGAGCAAATTACTTGACTGCAGTAGATTATTTTTTCTCACGGTCCGTGAATAATCGATTGTGGCTGGTTAGTTTTCTTACTCCTCAAGTCTTACTGCTATTAAAGTCTATCTTTCCGTGTACTACAGCCCTACCTCTTGTGTTCCATTAGCCCCGTTGAACTGTTTCCGAGCTTCAATCACCGGGAAGCCATCGAGGCGATCGACGATCCGACCTCGGCCGCCAAAATATGCGGTCGTGGCAGAGCGCGACGGTCGTCGGACATGTTGATGCGAATTGAAAAAAATTGCCGGCCACGAGTGCGATGACATTTTTCAGGCGAGGTCGCGTCGAATCGGCCGCCTTTATCGGGGGAGGGCAGCGCGTCGTCGTCATGGCGACGCCGATTTGTTGGCGAGGATTCCGCGCAGAGTTGTGTGGCGAGAGCTGTCTTTCGCGGCTCGCGATGGACGGTTGTTTCGGCCCGCGGGATTTAGAGGCGCTGCAGAATTTGATCTGCCCGCCGGAGAATGACCCCGACACCGAGGACGATTTACCGCAGGCGGGCGCGAGGAAGTTGGGTGAGTTCGGCGTTTACAGCTGATCCATTATGGAAATGGGACGGGATTTTGTTTGAAACATCTCGCGCTTCCGCGCGTGTGCACGCCCTCGCGCCCGGCAATTTCCGATATAATTCTGCATCGAGTTTTCGTCCCGTCCGGACGATTTTCGTCGGTGCCGTTGCGTTTAACTCGACGCGCTTCATCCGGGGATATTATCTGGCCGGCCAAAGAACGGCGATGCCGGGCCGATGGCGACAGAGTGATGGCGGCGGCGGCTTCGATGAAATCACTATCGCACGATTTCATGCCTCTTTACATGTATGCTGACCGACACGCTTCAAGGGTCCATATAAAACTCTGAAAAAAGCGTATTTTCGGGAATTAATTTTGCGAAAATTGATCAACTGAAGGTTTTTAAACATTGTATATTAATTAAGTAATTACTAAACTTTATATTACTATTTTTGTTATTTAGCAAAATCTATAGATAAATATACAGCATGTGGCAGGTGTGAACTTATGACTGTAAAAAATATCGCTGTGATCGACGCGGAGGATAATGCCGGTGACCTGAAAAGATCAGAAAACGAAAAAGTTTTTTAAATAATATGCTTGTAGTTGGGGAATGAACCTTTTTTAATAGTGCAAAATAACAAAAAGACACGAAATATTCAATCTTTAAACAGCTATTGTTTCTGCAATTTTGGTTCCACAGCTTAAAATTTAGATCCATCATCAAAATGACTTTAATTATATAGTAATTAATGTACTAAGAACTTAAATATGTGATTAAAGTCATTTTGGCTTATTGAAAAATATATAAAAATCGTAAAAAAAGAAAGATGATATAAGTGTATTACTATGAGGTTAAATCGTGCTTGTGCATTGGAAGATTTACTCAGTGAGTTGACTGATCATTGATCGCATTTGTAATTTTCTTGATCAGAATCGATAAAGCACCTTTCGCGATATAAATGCCAAATACCCGAGAAAAAGGTCCGAATTTAGGGTCTTAGCTGGGTGAAAGGTATAAGAGCACCCTTTCAGTGTAACCGCCTATTCAAGCGTAACATTCAAGCTAAAGGTATGTGACTGAGCCACGCGGAAAAAAGAATAATTCACTGGAAAAAAGGAATATAGAACAAGTAAGGAAATATTTTTATTGTTAAAATTTTAAGATCAAACCAATCTGGCATTACCGCAGTTCCCAAATGTGATATTTTACATTTCGAAAGGTGCTTTACTGATTCTGATCAAGAAAATTACAGAAGCGATAAATGATAGGGTCCCTTGTGAGCTTGCCGGTTAGCATGCATTGTCGGAAGGCATGCTGATCGACAGTTCGGTTCACCGCATGAAAAAAGAAAACAATTCCAGATCTTCTTTTGTGTGTGCTGCGAACATTTAAATTAAAACGATTGATGAGATACAATTTGGTTTGGGAGATCGGCACGAATTCTTGCTCACACAATTGGTATGCAAATGATCCCGCTGAAACAAAAGGTACAGCCGACGACGCGGAATTACACGGCATGCTTGATTTGCACGGCGTCGTATCAATTCCAATGAAACGCCATTGAAATTGCGGCTGCGACCGTCCACTGAAAATCGTCAAACGCAGCAGCGCGCAGCCGGCGGCATTAATCGCGCGCGCGCCGCGGGTTTTACGCAAATTTTACACTCGCCGCTCATAAAGTCGTTGCATTATGCAGCGCGCGTGCAATACCTCACCGGCGATATACGGACGACTCGTTGTAAATTGTGCAGTTGTCATAATTCCAATAAGACGTTACCGCTCCCGCACGGTGCAACCGGTGATAATTGTAAATCATCGCGCTAATCGTACATACTATGAGACGAATTAAAGGAAGAGTCGCAGTGCCGCGCTTTCAAACGCGTCATCGTACGTCGCATCTCCGCGATACGCAGCCGTTATAAATCACGCACGGACGGGGCGGTGATCCAAGCGCGGGAAAGCTTCCGACGAGTCTATAATTAGCGACGGAATTATTGATCCGCGACAAGATTTTATACACCTTAAGTGAGGGAGATTGCGGAAGACTCTTGGACACTCACTGATATGTGTGTGTGAATGTGCATCCGTAAGCGTAATGCAATGCAGAAGAAAATTATCCGTAGAACTACTACTTGATAGAACTGTTCTCTAAAGAAATGTTCTAATTAAAAGAGAATAAATGTAAGAATATTAAAATAAAATAATTGTCGTTATATACTTAATGTGTATTACTTATTTGTAAGTAAAATAATAATACAAAACAAAAGTTGTATGAAGATACTAGTTGGTAGAACCGTTCTATGAAAAGAAACGTTTTAATTAAAAAAGAAAATATGAAAATATTATATAAAATAGAATATGTTATTAAATTTACAGATACATTTATACTGAGAGAAGGCATATCTAAGAAATAAAAAATATTTATTCGGTGGATACTAATAACGTATTTTTTTACTCAATATATTGTTTTACTCTTGTCCTAATATAAAATATTTTTCAATATACTTTTTTTAAAATACTCTTCTTCAAAATATACTCTTTTTTTAAAACTTCAACTGTTTATGAAAGCAATTGTTTATTTTATTTAAATAAAAGAATTTAGATTTAAGTTAGAATATTTGGAATTTAAACATGTTATTGTTTTAGCACCACCTAAATAAATGTTTTTTTATTTCTTAAGTATTTTTTTCTTTCAGTGTATGCATGCGTATCTGTAAATGTAGTATAATACAGAAGAAAATGATTTATAAAAATATTAATTAATATAACTGTTCTATAAGAAAACATTCTAATTGGAAAAGAATAAGTGTAAAAACACTGAAATAAAATATAGTTGTTGCATTTATCGATAGACACGCATTTGTAGATGTAATTCTGATTCTTCAAACGTCTTCTCGCAAAATGTGTAATGAGAGACAGCGATTTTCGAGCTTTGACGATTAGCAGAATCCGAGTGTAATCATGATTTTTGTTTCAGGACCGGGTAATATCGGTGTACCTTCAATCGATGCTCCTCAGACCCACTCAGGACCTCACGCGCCGCTGCGTGGTGTGAATGATGATATCTGGCACCCCTCGGAAGCGATTGACGCTCAGAACACGCAGGATTACGACCCCCGAACGGTGCCCGAGTACGAGATGAAGTTTAAGCAAGCGGTGACAGCAGAGGATGTTTACCTGGGGGTATGCTGCGTATCACTTTCCTCTTTATCGCCAAAAGTTGAGACGAAGAAGTTCTGAAGAGAAAGTTACAAGTAGCAATCGTCGCTTGATAATTCGTGCGCGTCGTATTCTCAAGTTAACTCGAAACGATTTAACGTTAAGTGTGGATATCTAATTTTACGTTTCAACAACAGAATCGCGCTTACTATTATAACATGAGATATAATATGCGGTGATCAATTCGTTTAATTTAGCGAAAAGAATTCTTGTCTTGTAATACTTCTTATCAAAGAGACTTCGGTCGGCGAAAAATGTCACTCTGAGAAACGAAACCGTTAACGAAGAAATACGTACTGAATTAATAGAACGGTGTAACGCGAAGGGAACTTCTTATTCTCTCTTTCTCGAGTCAGCTGCGCCGCGGGGTGCGCGGCGAAAGACGTTTCTTTCCGGTCGACACGTTACGTGTAAATCGCTCGGCAGGCGGTCTTGAAGGCGGACGAATTGTTATTTAGATGGGCTTTAAAACGCCGAGCACGGCGTCCTGCGAGTGGCTGTCAGTGCTGGTGAAATTGCCGCGGGAAACGCGGGAAAAAGTGGAGCTCTCCGTGGAATCTGAGGCGATCGACGTGCGCAGCTCAAGGTGAGACGACCACCACGACGGATTTATCGTGGTAATCTGTAAGAGAAAGAGAGAGAGAAAGGGGGTGAGTGTGAGATAGTGAAACAGAATGAGAGAGAGAGAAAGAGAGAAAGAAAAAAAGAGAAAGATAGCGAACGAGCGCGGGGGAAAGCGCGGAGTCCGCGTTGATTCCGACGCACGTCTCTAGTTCCTTTGACAATTTTACGAGGCCGTAAATCTGCCAGGCGCGTAAAGCCACTCACGATTTTCCAGATATCGGCTGCACCTACCGACGCCTCACCCGGTGGATCCCAATGCGTCCTCGGCCAAGTGGCACAACGACACCTGTACCTTGGAGATCAGCCTAAGGCTCACGCGCGAGTTGGATAACATAAACTTTTGATTCGACCAGTCATCACGCTCGACCGTCTCACCATCGTATACCGAATGTCGAAGTAAGTTCTAGCAGTTCCATTGTCCTCGTTGGCCCGATTGGCGTAGCGAGGTAAGACGGCGCGTTTTCGCGCGATTAAATTTCGCCGACGGGTCCGTCGACGAGCTCGAAATCAATTTCTCCTTGGGAGATACGTCGACGTCGGTGCCACGTCGTTCTGCAATTTTTCATATCAAATATATTCCCGATTAATCGGGTGAAATAAAACAAATTCCGTTATATATTGCGAGAGACAGGCGTTTGCACGTGGAAACATGTTCGATATGTGTGAATATGTTGACAAAAAAATCGAATCCAAGTCTCAGGGTTATGTAAATTTCGTCGCGCAAACTGCTGTTGAGTCAAACTGAACGAAAATCGAGGTCCACAATCTGATACCGGAATTTCAAATGCAAAATTTAGTTAACGAAACTAAAACATAGCTGTACGTATGAGATACGAATGTATTCTTTCAATTATCAAAAGATTGATTGAGTTTAGTTAACGAAAATAAAACATAGCTGTATGTATCATACGAATGTTTTTTCAATTATCAAAAAACTGATTCAACTGTATAATATATATTTCAATCTCTGGTGGAATGTCAAGTAAATTACATGACCCATACGCGTTAGGTCGGTTTCACGATTATCTTGACTTGAATCTCACTGCATTGTCTCATGTCTCACTTCCAAAGTAAATTTTGAACATATTTTGCATAAACGAGACATTAAAAAGGACACCAAACTTTTTCTAAAGAAACTGAGGCATTGAGGCACTGATCTTTTTTTGAACGGTGTAGTCGAGTGTATAATGTAGGTGTTTCTTTCTCAATCATTAAAAGATTCATCTAACTGTATAACATGAGCAATTCTATCTCTGGTAAAAGATTAAGTACACTAGACGATCAATACAGCTAATAATATATTGGGTTACTATATTAGAACTTCACGATCGCCTCACTGAATTACCAAACTAAATTTTAAACATATTTTGCATAAATAAGAGATCAAAAGAGTAGCAAATATTTTCTGGAAAAATCGAAGCAGTTGATAAGACACTAATCTTTTTTTAACGTAGAGAGTTGTATATATAGATATTTTTTTAATTATTAAAAGGTTGATTTAAATATATAAAACAAGTAATCCCATTTCTGGTAGAAGATTAAGTACATTAGGTGATCGATACGACCAATGTGTTGGGTTAGCTTCGCAATCGGCTCACTGAACTACCAAACTAAATTTTGAACATATTTTGTATAAACAAAAGATCAAAAGGACAAATCTTTTCTGGAAAAATCAAGACAGTTGATAAAACATTAATCTTTTTTTAGCGCGTAGAGAGTCGTATATATATTGTTTAAATTATTAACAGGTTGATTTACAATATGATAAATATATAAAACAAATAATCTCTCTCATCACTGGTGTGGAAAGTTATGTAAATCAGACGACCAGTAATATTTTGGATTAACTTTATGATCGCCTTATTGCTTCTGTTTTGCACAAATAAGCGATTAAGGGAACGCCAGACCTGTTCTGAAAGGCAAATGAAGGCAAATTGAAAACAAAGCAAATCCTGAAATTGAGGTTATTTTAACTCGATCCGAGTTGTCTCGACTGATCTTTTTTCATAGTGTACTTTCATGCGGATGCTAGAAATATGCACAGCCTCCACGCGCGCTAACGCGTTTTATAATCATCGCGTGAGACTCGTCTTCGGGGTTGGCATAACAGAGACATTTATCGCGTTCCGTTATATCCTGATGATGAATTTTTCTGTGGAGTCACGCGCGTCTCGCGCGTGCAACGCGGCGTAATTGACGACAAAATCGTATTTGCATTTTGTGTAATGTCACGTCCTTGATTACGCCGCGCTCGCGAGCTCGTTACGCGATGCTAATTTACCCGCGACGTGCAAATAGCAAATTGCGCCCGTAATCGTCGTGCGGATCGTCGGTCTCGTGGCGCGCCGTGCCGCCGTCACGTCGGATATCGCGAGCGTTGTTCGTCGCGCAAGAAGCGTCAGTAACATCCACCGTCCTGGAGTATGGACAATCGGCACGTGGCTAATGGCACGCTGTTTCGTCAGATGGACCAGGACGATCGCGGGAGAACGATACCGCGGCGTCTGGGTCCCGAGATTGGCGCGGATGCTGCCTGCGGAAGAGCCATGGAGGTCGCGTCGCTGCGGCATGCACGCGGACACCATCATTCTACTGCTAAGAAAAGCGATTACTCAGTTTACTTTCCCTCTCATAAGCAATGGTTACCTTCAACAAATAATATTTTCCTCACAATAGTCTTCAAACATATATACTGAGAAAAAATATCTAAAAATTAACAAATATTTATTAGGTGAAAGTACCATTAATATATTTATTTAAATCAAAATTCTTTTCATTTAAACTGAGTATTGTTTACTTGGTTTAAGTAAACAATATTCGGTCAACAAATAATATTTTCTTCACAACAGTCTTCAAACATATACACTGAGAAAGAAATATCTGAAAATTAACAAATATTTATTAATAATATCTGAAAATTAACAAATATTTATTAACAAATATTTACTAGGTGAGAGTACCATTAACATATTTATTTAAATCAAAATTCTTTTCATTTAAACTGACAAGGAAACCCACACAAGTGTTTACCTCCGATTTTTATGAACTTGTAATATATCGTATTTTCGATCAAAATAACAGATATGTTTTTTATTATAAGTGCACTTTCGCAAGTTTAGGGGGTGAAATATCCCTTTGAAGGAAATCGGTTTTTTTCATTCGAAGGGAATATAATGAAAACTTAATATTCCCCCACCACTTCTTCTTATTATAGTTATTAAAATAATTTCTGTAAAGTACTCTTCAAACCATTCAACTTTTATTCAAAATATTTTTTTCAATCTCTTATAGTTTTCATTATATTCCCTTTGAATAAAAAAAACCGATTTTATTCAAAGAGGTATTTCACTCCCTAAACTTGCAAAAAGGTACATATAATAAAAAACGTACCTGTTATTTTGATTTAAAGTATAACATATTACAAATTCATAAAAATCGGAGGTAGACACTTGTGTGAGTTTCTTTGTGAGTATTGTTTACTTGGTTAGTAAACAATATTCGGTTTAAATGAAGAGAATTTTGATTTAAGTAAATATGTTAATAGTACCCATATAATAAGTATTTGTTAATTTAAAAATTTTTTTCTCAACATACTCAACGTACATTTTAGAGAAGCTCATTATTACGTACTCGGAAGAAGAATTTATTCTCTTTACAAGAATATTGTAAAACTTCATCAAAGAAAAAGTTAGCTCGACTCTATATGGCAAGTAAACTGAACTTTTATTTTAATTTAATACACTGAGAAAACAATACTTGTCAATTTCTTTGTAAGAAACGAAGTTTATTCATAGAAATAAACTTTTTTTCACAGAAAGAAATAGACTTTATATCCCATAAATGAATTTACAGTGAAATATTTTTTCTCAATGTATTCTTAGTTGAAATGCTGGAACTAGGACTCAAGAGGCACTTTGAGTAAATTTGATACTTACAATGAACTTACGACAATTTTGCACATATATAAACTTATGAAATACTCGAAACAAGCAGCATTTACTTGAATATAGTATGTACTTTTCTGTGCGTGCGAGAGAAAGAATACACGGAGAGGATCTTATATTATTTACTATCAGTTTTATTCCTTACTATTAGCTTTATTCTATAATTATAAAATATAATTATGAAATTACTAGAGCAATTACTATTGAATTGGTGCATAAAATTTATCATTTTTCTATTAAATTTTCTTAAAAAGTTCTGATATTATATACATAAAAACTAAATAATAGAAAGTCCTCATTAGATATCTAAAAATGCCTAGTCGATGTTCGTTTTATTTGGACAATTTATTAATCCTTTGAGATTGGATAATTTCGTTTTCTGTTTTATTTGACAAACACAAAAACTTTTTCACGAACTTGGTAATTTTGTAATTACTATAGAATATACTGTAAAATTACTATAAAATTTTACACACACACAACCACACAGAAGGAATATATCAACATTCTGCCTCAATTTATTATCTTCTCACTCATATGCGCTGCTTATATTTCAAGGACTGAAGTGCTCTAAATTTCTTGGAGGAGAATCTCATTCAAAACGAGTATAAAGTGGCAGTATTTTCATTCGAAGTGATAGTGAAAATACTGCCACTCGAAATCGCGAGAGTGAATGTTTCATTCAAGTGGATTCCAATTCAATATGAGTGGATATTTCAATTAGTTAAAGTGAATATGTTGCTGTAAGTGAAGTACGCTTCGAGTGAAAATATCCACTCGAATCTTTATTTTAGAGTGAAGAATTTACTCTACATGAATAAAAGATCACTTGAATTCGAAATGATTCGGTGATCATTCTATATTTCGAGTGAGATTTTACTCCAAAAAATATAAAAACTGTTAACTCTGGAACCTCAAACACAAAAAAAAGTTACGTAAACTTTGAACATGAGTAAATTTTATTCAGCGTATTTTCATTTGTCTGTAGCTTTTGTAAAAATGATCAAAATTCAATGCTTAATTTAAAAAGTATCAAGGAATATGAGTCTATTAATGTTTCTGCGACTTGATAAGGTTGAAAAAAATTACAATGATCAAACAAAACACATTTCTTTTAAGAATGCCAACGTTTGAAAGGTCGGTTTGGATAAATTTTACCTATATTTAATGTTGTAAATATTTGATGTTGTAAAAAACTAGTATGTTCCTTAGCATGGTAAGCTTTATGGCGGTTTACTAAGAGAGAAACATGATAGAATTTAAAAAAATTTAAATGAATAAGCATAATATTATTCTCTCCATGTATGTTCTCGCATTTCCTTCTGTTTTCACGAGAGCAATAAGGAGGATGCTCGGGTATCATGAAGTACAGAGAGTTTCATCAGACCCTTCTGTCTTCTCCAGAAGACACTTCCAAAGTTCGGTCGTCGGTCTCGTCATCTCACGAGATAT